TCGACATTTAGAAAGATTCACATGTACCCTTATAGGATAAATCATAGGCATGATCCCAGCAATCACCCTCCCTTCACCCATCCTCCCCCCTCCCCCTCCTCCCTCTCCCCTTAACAACGGAGATCAAGGGCTCCTCCCACCTGGCCTCTGAGAGGATTACAGGCATTGGCCATGGTGCCCAGCCTATGCCACAATTTGTGTAACCACAAATTACAGAGATATGCCCACCTCTGATTTTTCTCATTAAAAGAGAAAAGAGACTTTAAAATTGAAAAGAGACTTTTAAAATGTAAGTGGCCTGGGCCTCTCTCAATCCCTGAGGGATGCTTTCAGTAGTGGTCATGGCCTGGGAGTGCAGTGCAGCGGTACAGAAGCAGTGGCCTTCCAGTGATATGTCAAGGAAGAAGTCATCTGTTAAACTATACAGTATGCCCAAGTAACCCTTTTGCACATTACTGGGTACCCCTTGGATATACTTTGTCTCACAGATGCAAAGAAAAGTTAAAAGAGAAACAATTTGGATTGTTGATGTTACCTAGAACGGAACTTGGAAGGCCATTCTCACTCCTGCACATATGAATCAGGAAATCTTCGGACTCGCTTTGATGTAGACATGTGCAGTGCCATACAGTGATTCAAGAATTTTTCCAAGTTTCCCCCATAACTTGGAAAAAGGAGAAATAAAGCTATCATTAGATAACTCAACCTTAAAGAACCTAAAAAAAAAAAAAATTTATAAATTCACCTAAAAGAGGCTGGATGGCCCCGTAATCAGCAAAAATTGTCCTTCACTAAATAAAATACCTTCAGATACCCAAATGTCAATTTAAAGGAAGGGCTTCAGCCCACAGCGAATGTACAGGAGGAGAGTCAGGGGAAGTCCAAGAGCATGGGGCAGGCATCTGGTAAGCGGCTTCCTGCTGTCTGTGTTATAAGGTGGTAGGAAGCAAGAAAACATGCCAGACCTAGAAGAGAGGCACCGGGGGCTGGCCTCCCTTCATAACACCTTGCTCTCTAGTTAACCAATCCACTCCTA